CTTTTTAATTTTTTCTTTTACATTTTGTGCTTTTATTGTGCTGCAGCGACGTGTAGGCGCAACGAAACGCTCAAAATTTGACGTAGTTGACTCTAAAAGATCGATGTACAAATGGGTTAAAACTAAAGATTGCGTGCTTCTTGGGAGTTAATTTCAGAGAAAACCAGTAGCACCATCGTGTTTCTCGCGAACTTTTACATAAAAATCAGTAGTCAAATCGCTTATTCCTCACGCATGCAGCATCTCCATTATATGATTAACTTAACGTATTTTTAGTAAAACTGTCTGTAGTTATTGCTCAGTGGCACGTCAAGAAATCGAAACTGAGGCACAAAAGATACTCACATCCTTCGTAGATGTGCACCTATTCGTGCCTAGATATATTTGTAGTGTACAAGCGAAGAATTATAGGTGTTCTCTCATTTTGACACCAGCTCTGAGCCGCGCTGCGGGAGAAATGGTGAGTGCCTACAGAATCAAAATGCCTTCAATCCCGTACGTATGCAACATGGACATCCGTGGAGCTCGAATAGTTGCATCCAGGCGTTATAATAAAAATCGCTTAAATTTCGTCGCGTGCGCGGTATAGTACTGGGTAAGGGCGCTAGGTTTGTTTCTCTTAAGCCTTAACTTAATTCCAGGGTTGCAGATTAGTCGATGAAGTACATTTGCCGATACACACACACATTGCTGTACATTGCTGATTTTTACCGCGGCATTATCAATTTTCCGAAAAAATGGCCAAATGCGGCAGAGTTTTTTCATAGACACTTCAGGTACGTAAAACTTTTTGAGCGCACATCTAAACACATTTGGACTGCCTTTAACAGAAAAGAACCAAGCTACATCACATCAGCTACTGCCAAATTTAAGTGGACACTTCAATATTTTACAAGAGAAGGTTATTGCGGATTCCTTTAAAACTTTTAAGGAATTTGCTACGTACAATGCAGAAAATTCACGGAAATTTGTACAAAGATCTGCACAACACTCTTCATGTAAAAAATGAATCGCCCGAATAAATTTGGCAATAGCTGATGTGGCTTGGTTCCTTTCTGCTCAACGCGGTCATTTGCTCTGGCGGAAACGTTAAAAAGAAGTCTAGTCAGAAATCAAAATCAAAATTCAACCTACGGTCAGTTCAGACCCCGGTGAAACAGGGCCCTGAGCGTGTAGAGACAATTTCTTACGTTTCTGATTGCTTCAAACTTATTGTATTGGAGCAGACCGGGTTAACGAATCACGAATCAATGACGAGGGATTTAAAGAATGCACCCTGGTGGTTGCTCACATAAAATCCCAGGTTAGGCGTTCACAAAAATCGCCATGGGCCGCGGCCCAAGTGGCCACCCCCTAAATCCGGCCCTGTTCACTAACATATTCACTTGACTCCTCCGCTTGTTCGTCTGGTGGACAGAGACTTTTCACTTAAGTAATATCACGCAATTAAAAAGTATTGTTACGTAGCAATCAGATGTCTGATATAGATAAAGTTTTACTCGTCTCTATTACACTAATTTCGAAGGCAATTACTTGCTCAAACGAACCACCACAAAAGCCCAAATCGTCTTCTGCTACGTGATCTGCGTTTTCAGAATTTCACCGATTTTCGAAAGGCATTACTATTTTCCCGTAAAATCCGAACACGGCGAAATTCCCTGTTGCGGATGTATAAAACAGGATACATCTTGCTTTGGAGTCATTCTTTGATTTTTCACCAGTTCGCATCGAATTGATTTCTTTTTAATTTAGCACTTTTCGGGGCCACTCTCAATTGAATCAGTGAGGACGAAAACACACTAACTCGGAAAAATTAAAATAATCAAGACAAGCTCAAAACTGCACAGTGGGTGAAGAAGTTACTTCAAGAAAAATATTTTTGCTGTTGAAAGACAAGTAGTTATGGACACTTTAAAGGTCCAAGTTAGGACAGATGGGCTAACTTCGATGATCTTTATGTAAATTAACCGTCTTTAATGGAAATCGAGTATTTTCGAGTTACCGAGTTGGTGTGTTTTCGTTCTCACTGATTCAATTATTTTATAAACGAACGAGACGGAAAAATACGCTCCGAATAATGAGGACGAGAGAATAGCGAATTTTTATCAGTCGGAAAAACAGAAAACGAATTGGGACGATGAAAATACTTCCAACGAACGTAATCCAAGTCTTATTTTCAGCTTTTGCGAAGATTATTCTTGACAGTCCCAACTTTGTCAATCTGACGAGATGCTCGACTATTTTCTCGTGGATCGAACGTCGCACAATGGGACGAGGACGAGCTTTTAAGAGAGATCGGACATGAAATTTATGACTAAAATTGCTTTGAATTGCTTGCTTTTTGCTTTAAAATGAAATATAAAAAAAAAAAAAAAAACTTTGATGTTCACTTCGTCATATTGTACATTTAAAGGGGTGCCTCTTGAAGGAAACGTTACGAGAAAACTGATGGAATCACTTTTCAACCTTCGTGTTTACTATTGATAAAGATAGGAGTTTTTAAATATTCAAAACTATGTCCGACTTCTTACAATGACCCGATCCACTGTGCATCGTCGGGCCACGAAGAGACTGTACCGCGGGAAAATCACGTGATCGACAGCATTCACAACACCGGCACCAACGAAATTTATTGATTCTTCCTAGCGACAAGAAAAGTAACGATTCAAAGCGGATCAGCTCTCGATGTTGGACGGAGCCTTACAAATTTAGCTTAGGGTAGATCTTCAGCCTTGGCGCGATGCATTCTGGGTAAACGGATTATTTTGGAAAAACCACAGAATCTAGATCTACCAATTCCTACTTAGCGGGTAGATGGAATTATTGGATTACCTGCCTATGCCTAAAATCATTTTCTGGGAACGATAAATAAAAAAATAAGAAACAAAGGTACGGTTTCCGATTACCCATCGACTTAGCTGAATTGAAATCGGTTGCTAATTTGAAACAGTACTCCTCTAAATTGATTTGAGGACACAGTGTCTAGAATTGGACCACATTTGCAATAAGGAGCCACTATTTCTGGCTCATTTTAGAAACGACATATATGCCATTCGTTTCCCTATGCAGAAAGGTGCTTCTATGACTTTTTATGAGCCAGAAATAGTGGTTCCTTATTGCAAAATGTAGGTAATCCAATTCTTGTCCATGCTCATTCTCTGATTCTTTCCTGATTTTCAGGAGCTCATTCCCTGATGAGGGATCAAAGTATTTCTCCCAATTTTTCACCTCAACATTACGGCATATACTTACGAGATTTTTCTACGGATTTGGAAAAAAAAACATAAAAAATACTTGAATTCACCTCAATATGGGGGGAAAATTCGCGATTTTTGAATAAAATAAAATTTTACGTGTTTCTTACCTCAATATTGCGGTATCTACACGATTTTTCCAGCGGTTTTGTGTAAACATTAATAACTACGCATTAGTCCACGAATATTACGGCATTTATAGACGTTAGCAATTTGAGACAGACGAAGAGTTTAGATTTTCCTTCTTTTTCGCGTGATACCACATACCTACTCCGAAGTTCGAATGGCTGTCCGCTTAATTTTCACATTTAACGATGCGAGCATAATACCTACCGTCATAAACGCCAGTAATTTGAGACAGACGAGAAGCTAAGATTCTCCTTCATTTCCGCGTGATACCACATTTGATCACGTGATTCTAATCTGTCTCGCGGAAAAGACTGGATTTTTCCAGCAGTTTTGAAAAAAAGGAGAGAAATCACGCGTCATACCATCTCGATATCGCGAAATATACTGCTTGCGCGATTTCTCTAGCTGTATTTTAAGGTATAAAATATTCTGCAATTTTTTCCTCAATATTGCAGTACATGCCAGATATTTCCAGCCGTTTTATAAAAAATAATTACGTAATTATTTAAGATTTTGAAAAAACATTTTTGGCAAGAATCTTTGAAGAGTCAAATTTTAGGCAGACAGGGGGCCCTGATGAATTCATGATATTTTGGGCTAAGAAGAGAGGGTTTCCCGATCATTGATTCGTTTGACGTGGACTCATCTTCTTGACAGCAAACTTTCCCAATGAAGGCGCGTGGGTCATGCCAATTTTGTTCCGAAATTCCCGCTTTTTCCGACCAGAAAAGTTAGTAACAGCTCCACGATAAAATGACATGATTAGAAATAAATTATTCCCTAATTTCGTGGTGGTTTTCAAGATTTTCTCTGATGCCAAATAAAACTCTCTGACAATCCCCTGTATTCAAGGTTGCTAGATTCTCTTCTCTCTCAACCTCGTATACTTAGGTACTGCTTCAGAATGTTCCTTCTCTCTCTCTTTCATGGCCAACTCCGTTCCCTCTGTTCCTAACTATTTGTTTCCTTCCTATTTCTAAAACCTTCCTGTTATTCCCTTCCCAACAAAGTGATCCCAAAGTGATGGCCTGACCGTTGCCATTGTGACAATTGGTACCCGATAAAAGATTAAGGGATCCTGTGGAAGGTACAATCGGATATTTTGCTAGCGGCTACATCAACCTTGGACTTACAAAACAATAGGTCTCTTGGGTAACACTTCGCCAAGAAGTAAGCCTAATCCTACTTAAACTTATGACATGCATCTGGCCGGATGACAATGTCAGCACGGCGCAACATAGTTCTACCTCGACCAGGCTCATATTGATGGGCAAAGTTCGAAAGTACATATCTCCATTTGCGACGTCGCACACTTCCTGTCATGTTTGACTTTTCCTCTCTGTTAACAGAATATTTCGCATTAATTTCAAGCTATGAATTTGGCTTGTTTATTGGCTTTAAAAACAGAAAATAGTACTAAGGGTAAATTTTGAAACGCTGCGATGGAGATATGTGCTTTCGCACTTTGGCCATTGGTAGTATGTCTGGCTGTACTGCTGCCAACTTTTGATGATCAGCAGATGCAGTTTGACACAATGCAGTGACAATTGTGTCGTAGTTCTAAAGGCATAGAATAAATTCTAAAAGCGACTTGGAAAGTGAAGGGTAGTAACGTACGTTGTAAGATCCTTGTTTGCGGAAGACAATTAGATTAATTCGAGAGGTCTCAGCTGGAGTCCACTGAGGCTCAAATCCACCAGTTGCCAGGTACAATAAACAGAACTAACGAGATCCTTCTAAGCACGCCGTAACCATGTGCTGGGAGCGTTGAACTTAACACCTTGGGCACTTAAACACTAAAAATAACTGATAAGTATGATACAAAGCTACGTAGAACTAGAAACACTACGCTAAGCAGTTAAACTTGATTAAGGTAAGTTCATGCTTGTCCTTAGGTAAGAGGACTGAAAAGAGTTTGAAAAACACTTATTTTCCGGGAACTAGATGCTCCTCGAAGCGCCGGACAAACAACTAGCAATGTGCAGTCTATGTCACGAGATCGAAGCGAACTCAAATGTTTTTCGAAGGATGGGAAGGCAGGCACTGGGGGTGTAAAATTTTATCTTATCAAAATAAATTGACACCGAAAGTCGCTGGACGCTTGCTTGAAAAGAGGAATATTCCGCAAAAGAACAAGAACCGAGAGAGTCGACACACTATCAGACGTAGATCGCACACGAGACTGAAATTGGAAACTGAAATTGTTATGATAGTGACGCAAGCAATAATGTAGCACTGAAAAGCAAAAAACAAAACAAGAGCTGGTGTCCCCAGTCGTTGCCCCAGTCTGCGTCGCAAGACGAAAAGAAAGAGATAGATTCTTCGGAAACGAAAGGTGATAAAAAGAGATAGAACATATTGCTGTGCGGGTTGCATACACTTCAGCGAAGAGTGGGGGTAAAGGAAAAAGCACGGAAGAGGGGAAGACACTTGCGCACGATTGCCCCGTCTGCCTCTGCGCAGGCGCATGCGCACAAGTTATAATCGATGAAAATTGGCAGATTTTTCAAATGAGCGGTCTTCTTACATAATAATGCATAATTCTGAATTGAAACTATGAAAATTTTCATTATTTTATCCTCCCTCTCTTCAACTCTCATTTTTAAGCTGCAGAAGCTTGCATTTGATGACCCTTATACCTGCACCTTAAAATTTCCTTAACATAACATAAAAATTACTGAGGATTTAAAGGGAGAAAGGAGGTTGAAGATGAACTCTTAATCCAATGGTTCGTGACAATCCATATGAACTAAGGTTAATGGCTGATTGCTCTGGATAGACTTTCGGACACATATTTCCCTTTCAACCAAGAGAACCAACGTCGCGTCATAACTCAATTTACCTGATCAACATTATTCCGACTTTTCCTGAGTCGCCGTATCAAAGTTTTAAAACTGCTTGGTATCATTCGTAAACCGTCCATTCAATTAGTGCCAAAAATTGCGAGAAAAATTCAAATAAAAATTTTCCTCATGTTCATATTCAGTTTTTCATGAATTTTTTCGAGTCTGGGATGTTTAAACTTTTTGCTCTGTCCAAATACAGTTTGATCGAAGCTTGTACCTATGAAAAATTAAACTGGCGATGATTTGAAGGTTCAAACAGATCAAGTGCCCAAGGATGGTTTTTTGTTTTCATAAAACGTTCATGTACACGGAAAAAAGCGATGTATTGATCAATAAAATTTCAGAGCAAGACTACAGAAGTGCAGAATTTAAATAACATTGATCCATTGAAGTAGGATAAGTTTTGGAAACTTTAATGATCATTCTTTTAACAAACTAAGTAAGCTCCCAACACATTATAATGCCAATTTGTATTTGTACATTTGTTTTACATTATTTGTTTAATTTTTTTGGCTTGTATGTCGATTATTTCAATCTTTTTACTAAGCTCCCAACTTTGTAAGTCACTGACGTTGTGCAATTTTGAAATCATCCTTCCGTTACTTTTCTATCAATTGATGATAGTGCAGCTACACTACAGAATCCTGAACTTCCCTTCATTCACAAATTTTTAAACTTCTTCTTTTCACATTTGCATGTTTTTTGTTTATTCTTATTTCTTCCTAATTAGGACAAACAATTATGTTCAGTACAGCGAGATAAGATTTAAAAGGGATAGACAGGGCCGGATTTACCAATAGGCTATATAGGCTGTATCCTAGGGCGCAACATTCTGAGGGGCGCAACATTTTTGATAATTTTTTGTTTTGATTCAACGAGTCTTTTGTTTCTTTTTATTTTCCAAAACCAACTAGCAAACGTAAACGTACCTCAAAACTGTTTAAAATCGTGTTTTCCTAAAGGTGAATTTGAACATTTTCCTGACACCTTACATCCTCCTCCTGATCTGGAGGGGAGGTGCGTCTGCCCCCCCCCCCCCCCCCCCCCACGAGAGCGCCTACTTCTAAGGGCGCCACCCTAAGTTTAGCCTAGGGCGCTAAAAATGTAAATCCGGCCCTGGGGATAGAGCAATACTGCATGACAAATCAATGATGCAAATAAATTGAAAAAATGCAAAAAATAACAATTTTTATTCCATATTAGATACTAACTTACAATTAGTTTTGCAAACCTTTACACATAACTGATTTTTGCAATAGGTACATATTTACTTATTCTATTTTACACTCATAAAATCACAAAATTTCACAATAAATTAATGATTCACATTTGCCGATTTAGAATAAAAACTAGCAGGAACTGGTGCAATACAATTCACTTGTTTAAAAAAATGATTTCTAAAAGTATACAAAGAGATGGTTTTGGGAAATTATCGGACGAATGGTCAAGAAGAAAAAAAATAATGTCGTTTGGATGATTAATGGGTCAAGAGGGTGATCAAATGTGTAAAGAATACTTTCTTTAGAGTTACAAGAGAAATTATTCCACGATATAACTTAAACGTGGAGATGAATGAAACTGACTGATGATATTTCAATATCAGGATTGAAAAAGGGCATAAGTGTCTCTTGAAAAAGTCAGGGTCTTGTCCAGAGTAACCAATTCATTCACATGATCGCACCTTAAATTGCTTTCTTTTTAGAAAACAACTTATTGGACAAAACACATGTGAAGTCACACTGAAGAGAGGCAGTTTGTTTCCAGTCACTGAGGACACTGATGTCAGCGACGATTCACTGGACGATGAATCCCATTTCTGGAGCTCCAACTTTTTGTGCAACAAGTTTTCCATATCCACCTCGCCCTCCATCAAAATCTGTTCGGTACTCGTCACGCACCTGGCAGAGTATAAGAAAAGAAAAGAAAATTTTTAATCATACACAAGTTAAAAATACAGGGTCCTAAAATTATTAGAATCTGTCAGAACTTGACAAGGACTCAAGATTTGTTTTGGAAGGGGAAACTCAATCATCTCCAATTCATGGTTCACACTGAAATAATTCAAGAAAAATTAATGAACGAATGCTTTTCAGATTTTGCCATTGGACCCACAAAATCCTCCGAATACTGTCTAAAATGCTCCCTGAAATCATGAATGCTCTAAGGAGTGGTTATCAGCCCATTTTTTCAGCTTTCAGTGGTGGCGAAAAGGCACAAAGATTGCCTGAAAGTGAAGAGGTCATAAGCTTGATTTAAGATCATGAAATTTTTGAGCGGAAAGTTTGAATTCATGCATCCGAAGATACCAATATTTTGGCAGGTAGTTACTTTCATTACTCTCAACTAGGAGGACAAAAATGTGTGTCCTTTGCGCTTTCTTTGGAGCACTAAGATTCTATTTCTCACCATCACATTAAAGGTAGGTCGCATAATTTGTAGAAAAATACGGAGGAATCACAAGAATTAACATAAAATTTTTATCAACAATGTTGAATAAAATCGAGAGTTTCTCAAACAAGACGATTAAGATGATGAGTCATAAAAAGGCATCAGAAGAAAGATGGCGATTAAAAGAGGAGTTGGAATTGCGGATAGGAAACATACAGGAACAGGCAGTACTGGCTGTGAAACTTGAGAGGCACTGGAGGATAAAGGAAATAGGAGAGGAAAAGTTAGATTTTTCGCCTGTACGGCGCAGCTCTGAAGTAACGATTAGCTCCACCACGTTGAGGATCATAGTGTCTTCGGAATTCATCACGAACCTGATGAACAATTAAGAGGTCGTAACTTCCAAATAAATGAATCGTACAGTAAGGAACTAATCTACTAAAATGCCTTATTTATTTTAAAACCATATAAAACTTTGGGATAGAGATCTTGAAAATTAGCCCCTAATCAAGAAATAGAAAATCAACAATTGCTATTGCAATTACTCATATTCTAATCAAGTTTTTGACTTACAGTTTGGACTTAAATAGACTCTGGGATATTAATGAACGTAAATTTAGCTAACGTAAATTTCAGGAGATTTTTGATCCCTGACACTACTGTACTGCTGGCAAATTTATTCTCTTCATGTAGGGTGGTACACAGGAAAACTTTTAAGGGAGAAAAAAAAAAAAACAGGATCAACCTGTGCAAAGAATTCTTATAAGGTACACATCCGCATCTGAATGCTTGTGCACAGTTAAATATATATGTATCATTCCCACTTTTCCGAAAAACCAGTTAAGATGGAACACATTTTGATGGCCAAAATGCCTAACAACATATCTCCGTTTGCAACATGGCAGACTTCCTGTCATAATTTATTTTTTCTATGGAAAACTGAAGGACCTAATTATTGAAAACTTCCTTGATTTTTTTTCTCCGTTGGCAGAATATTCTCCATAAGGGGTCAAATTGACTTATTTCTTTTTGAAAAATAAAATAGGAGCGGAAATTTATAAACACGCAATGGAGATACGCAGTTTGGCACTTAAGCCATCAATTTACCTAATCTACTCATTATTAATTGCTCATTTGCTTTGTCTTCTTACCCTTAACAAATGAAGCATTAAATCCGTGCCTTAGGTGAGTTCTAAAAACACAGCTCAATCATTTCTCGGACTTGTGCAGTCAAAACACAATTATTTTCTACAGCTACTATAGTTTAATTTTTCAGCAAACACTAGATCCACATTAAAGCATAATGAGATGAGCAATCTCTCTCTTTTCAGTGTCTAGATCGAGTCTAGGGATGCGGATTTTTTGGAAAAAATATATTTTTTTTTACAAAAATTAATTTCCGTCCACAAATTGGTACAAGCTGAATCAGTTAAAGTGTAAAAATCGATTTTTTTTTACATTGATAAGAAAAAATTGCTTGTATAATAGACTTTAATCTTTGAAACAAGCATCAGCAGCCTGAAAAAATCGAAAATTGCATTAATTCTGCTGATAGATCCGGGTTAAAAAAATAGATATTTTGGTTGAATCAATTGAAAATTCGCACCCCTAGTATAGTCCTTGCCTTCAATGCAATGGCTGCAGAGAGACATTTAGATTACTTACTTGCCCACCAGTTTTCCCTCGTCCATATTGACGTCCTTCTACAAACCCAGCATCCCAATCGGTTCGGATAATTCTGTCGTCAAGTCTTGTGCCATTCACATACCGCATACAATTTTCTGCATCGGCTCTTGTGTAATACCTGTAATTAATGTTAAGGCATCTGCGGAAGGTATGCTCAGCAGGCTACCTTCACAATGATTATTATAATGGCTAGTTGTTTATCCTTAAGAGCTGCTGAAAAAATATATCACACTTACTTGTCCACCAGTCTTCCCACGACCATATTGACGTCCTTCAACAAAACCAGCATCCCAGTCAGTTCGAATTATTCTGTCATCAAGCCTTGTACCATTTACATATCGCATACAGTTTTCTGCATCAGCTTTTGTATAGTACCTGTAATTATTGTTAAGGTACAATCCTACATGTTGATGCCAACGCATGAAATCTCTTGCAAAAATGCAGATAATACCCGATCATAAAATTCTTGGTAACGGGTGGCACAGCAAGAGATTCAAGGAAATTTTGGAGAGGTACTTGATGGCTTTTTATGATGATCTCAGAATTTTGATAAAAATATGTAGAAGAGTGAAAATTCAAGTGGAAATCAGGGAATTCGGGGACTTTACTTGTGGGGGAAAATAACCAGATCATAAAATGAGACCCGAGTTAAAGAATTATCTGCATCCCTACCACTTTTAACTAATCCTGGCGGCCAATTTTTGAAACATAGGCTGAAGCCTCAGGAGCCACCATGTCTGGCAACTATCATCAATTTCAGAAACAAATGGATAATTCTGAGGGACTGATTGAAAAAATTGCACTTCAATTTTCAAGTTACTTCAAACTTGAAAGCTCCGAGCACATATGGATTCCTCACTTACCAAAACGAAAGGCAAAGATTTATTTTGTGTGGAATTTTGCCGAGCAACCGAAACTTAAAATTCTCTTGGAAGAAACATTAATTCCTCGGTAAGAATCAAACGTTCGGACATTAAAGTCACTGAATTTTGTTATTTTTAGAGTCCTGGCTAAATAAAATCACGTACTTTTCAACAACAATAGAAAAATGTCATCTTCTTTCTTGCATTTGCTTTCAATGCTAAACTGACACGACACTATCTTCTGTGGCAGTCCAAAAGAATGTGAACTTATTAGGTGTGAACTCTAATTAAAAAAACAAGTGATTTAAAATTTTTGCTAATACTGGAAGAGCAAAATGTACAAGGCCAATGACTGAAGCCGGTTCAATGGTCAATATGGCGTGGTAGCTGTACTACTATTTTGCTTCAAAACATGCACTAAGGGGCATCTACGTTTGCTGTAAAAAAAATTAATAGGAAAAAAAATTTATTGATAAAAAAATGAAATACGAGATGAAATAACGGTAAAAAGGATACTCCATGAAGCAAAATCCACAAGGTGTCTTCTTGTATTTGTCCAAACCCATGATGATTCTCTTGATATCGCCACATTTAGAGAAAAGTTCATATATTTGCTCCTCTGTTGTATGAAAAGAAAGGTTTCCGACGTATAAGGTAGTTGATTCTCTTAAAAGGCGCTCTTGTTCTGCTCGTGACCCCTGAAATCAAAAGAAAGAGTTAAATATAATTCATGGGTAGCTCTAAAGAGACTGAAATAACATTATTCCTGCTTTTACTGATGACTCTAAACATACAAAATTTCTGTTCAGTCAGACTTCTCTCTTATGATATGGTACTAAAGAGGACGCAAAGACTATGATAAACTAAGTATGGAAAATTCAAACAGATCAGTTCTGTGACAACATGGAGGCGGAACTGAGAGAAATATGTGCAGCTAAAAAAATGCTCTGATTTAATACTCGCTGTTAATGCAAAAACCCTCAGGGTCTCTTAAAGTGTATGTTTATGTTGTCTCAGCGTTAAACTGATGAGAAACAGAAAGATTTACATAAGTAAGAAATAGTAAAATCTAGCTTGTCATTTTGATAGGTTTGGGAAGGACCTTTGGCCTGATCCATGCAGTTAAACTTTCCCGCAAAGTTCATCAAGCTGCGCAAACTAGTTGGAGCTCCGTTAAATCGAAAGTTCATTGAATTACAGTGTTGCCCAAAATTTTGTCCTATGTCTGAGCGTCTGTATAGGGCCTCGGAAAGGGCTTCGATTAGATATGCACGATTAGAGCTTAAAGATAAAGGAAGGCATACATTTAACACCTTGAGAAAGATTGCGCTTCCAAACAAGAGGTCTATGAACTTGAGCGAAAACTGACGATGTGATTAACATGAAGAAAATATGATGTGCAGTCATAAGGGAAAAAGGAGGATTTGAAAGTTGAAATAATGAAGAGGACAACGGTAAAAGAAACTTATAATAAATCAAAATCATGGTCAGGAGGGATTCAGGAAAAATAGTGACCGAGCAATTTGAGGTTAGGTTGGATAGTACCAATATTAATGGTCAAGAAATGATTACCTTAAAATGTTGGTCTCTGTAAGAACTCAATTCAACTGAAGGTGATGTAACTGTAGTCATTTTATCACAAAAAAAATCAAGTTTTAACTCCAAAATGCGTTTCAATAGCCAGAAAAACGGCCGACACAGCGTCTAGAAACGTCGAAAGCCTCCGAATGTAAATAATACCGGTGACGTCACACCTATGACGTCACGAGACTTGCTGGTTAACCGGTACACCGTTTAGACCCTTTATAATTATGTTTTTGACCGTTTGGTACGATTGAGTCTAATAATACTTACATTGGTAGTATTTCAGTTTCTCTTCGGTCAGAATTTTCTTGTGTATTTTCGATGGAATTTCCTTTGGGAAATACACTATTTTATGAATCAAATACATTATCATTGCTGTGTTTATTAGTTTGCCTTATTCTTTTAGAAATTTAATCTTAGGTAGGTGGCCCTTTTGAAATGGAGGTTTTGTGATTTTCGAGGAAAACTACCTAACCCGACAGAATAACTTTCCAGCAGTTTCATTCATTGTTGTGTCATTTCAGGGCATAAAGCTGCTTGTACATGCTCTATACCTACCTGACAGACGCTGTAATTTCGATTCCTATTTCCTTTCAAATTTCCATTTCTAAAAGCTACCGCAGCGTTTTTTTTTTCCTTTTTTTATCTTTTTTTAAATTGGAAAAATGGAAACTTGAAAGCGCCATAGCTCCAATTAAATTTGAAATTTTTGGCTTGATGTAAAGACCCCGTATACCAATTTTCAGCCAAATCGGGAAAACCCTTCAAATTAGTCTCTTATAATGATGTAAAGACCCCGTATACCAATTTTCAGCCAAATCGGAGGGGGTCGGGTTCCGAGCCTGGCACAGTTGACGAGGAATGACCCTTATCCCTGCCTCTTAATTTTTAATTATTCTGCAAAAACTATCCATTTGCGAAATACAATCCTGGCTTTAGTGCCCTTCAACTACAGCCTTCACGGTCGAAACTACAGTAGCGGCACAGGAAAACCGAAAAACAACGCGGGGACGCTACTTCAATATTTAGCTTCCATTGTCATGCTAAGGCGCAGGGATACAACTATTTGAACTCTCCGGAACGCGTGAGGTATGACGCCTCATTTGAAGGCATTTTCGAATCTTCTGTATTTGGTTTTTTGGCATTCCTGTGCACGCGCTGAGGACAGCGCCATGATACAACTAAACAACCTCGACGGATGTCCATATTGCGTTCAAATAATTGAAGGCGTTTTGAATTTCTGCGCGCTGACTGCAGCGCCTAATTAACGGACGCGTTTTTAACACGATATCGCCTTGATGCCTAATCAAGCTTTACGGATGTACGTATCACATATCGATGGTCACAGTACAGTATCACGTATCTACATTGCGGTGTTTCAAAATTTCCGCTCCTACTTTATTATTTCGATGGGAAGCAATCCAACGTTACAACTTAATTTGTATGCCAGATACTCTGCTAAAAGAGATGAAAAATCACGGAGAAACATTTTACGTTGACTGGTTATCCGAAGAAAAAATAGATTTTGACACGTAATCTGCAACATCGCAAACGGAGATACGTGGTCTCTCATGTTGGTCATCGGAATGTAGAAAACTGAAGGCATTTCGGCTCTTTTCGCACTGATTTTATTCGTCCGTAACAAGGACACTAGGACGCGCTGACAACGGCGCCTTGATACAACTCTACAACCTCGACGGATGTCCATATTGCGTTCAAGAAATTGAAGGCGTTTTGAATTTCAGCGCGCTAACTGCAGCGCTTAATTAACGGACGCGTTTTCGACAGGATATCGCCTTGATGCCTAATCAAGCTTTACGGATGTACGTATTACATATCGTTGGTCTGAGTACAGTATCACGTATCTACATTGCGGTGTTTCAAAATTTCCGCTCCTATTTTATTATGTCGATGGGACGCAATCCAACGTAACAACTTAATTTGTATGCCACATACTCTGCTAACAGGGATGAAAAATCACGGAGAAACATTTTACGTTGACTAGTTATCCGAAGAAAAAATAGATTTTGACACGTAATCTGCAACATCGCAAACGGAGATACGTGGTCTCTCATGTTGGTCATCGGACTACCGTCGATATGAATATAGTCAATTATGGAAATAAATGTAAAATGAGATCATTATATTTATTTTTCATGACGATAGTGATAATAGTGACAACAGATTTGAGAGAGAAAAAAGCGGCAGGAAAAGTTACGATGGTAAGCTTTCAAATCTTTACCACCTTACCGATGGCCGTGAACCGATCGACACCAGTTCAACCGACAAATAAGTGACAAACTGCTGCACAGTGGATCGAGTCAATAGGAGAGGTCGGACAAAATTTGGAAACTTTAAACGGTTTAAACTCCGTTTACATGAAACTTTGAAGTTCTAAAAGTGGTTCTACTGGTTTCCTCGTGAAATTTCCCTCTAGAAGCACCCCTTAAAAGTTAGAGCGTGACGAAATAAAAATAAAAATTCGCAGTTTTAGTAAAAAAATTTCATGTCCGACCTCTCTAATGACTCGATCCACTGTGCGGCGTCGCCGTCGATTCGATCGATTCACGAGTTTTTCGATCAATTCATTTCAATCGAATCCATACCCTCCGCTTCGTCGAATCTATACCTTACGCTTCGAAAGGGTTCGTGGATCAAATGAACTGCGCTTTGCAATTAGGAACTACAATGTCTGACTTCGTTTAGAAACAACGTATGTACCTTCGTTAGTTTCCTTATGCACAAAAGAGTTTTTACAAATGAGCCAGAAATTGTAGTTCCAAATAGCAAAATGTAGTCCAAATGATCGCGCCATTACATTGCTGAGCAACGAGGGAGCCTAGTAGGGAGCAACGTGAAAGCCGCTTTACTTGCATACTTTTATTTGAAATTATTTGTAAAAATGTGTAAATGAAGAGAGGAAAATTAGGCGGATTTTATGTAATGTTTTATCATTTGAAATGACAGTAATTCCAACAAACTTGACAAAAATTTCAAAATCATAAGTTGAAAACCGCTGCTGATGCCGCAAATTTGAATTATTAAGTCAAACACATTGCGGCCGGCCGGCGCGGCGCGCAGCGCGGAGCTGGCGCGCTTGGCGCGGGAGGCATAGTAGCGCCTAACAAGACCGCAGGATACTTCATGCATTGCGCGTACAGCACGGTGCGCGCAAACTGGCGCGCAACGCCTGGCACAGCGCCTTTCAAGTCTGCAGGATACTTCATGCATTGCGCGTATACCACGGTGCGCGCTCAAGTCGTTGAAAAGACATATTTTCTTGGGGTCGAATCTACCCCTGCGTATTCTGCCGTGCTAAGGAAAAACGCCGTAAGAACATTCGAGAGTTGCCACAATTCCTCCGATAAAATGATTATTTTTGAGGAAAGTTATGAATATTTTCCCGGGAAATTTTCAAGAATTGTGGGTAAAATTGCGAACAAAATTATCTGAAAAAAAATATTTACGAATTCTCCCAAAAATTCGTGATTTACCGGAAGAAATTTGTCAGCGCCTGAGGTTCATACGGCGTTCTTCCTTGGCACGGCAGTATTGTACATAATTTCCGAACAATGCACAACGCAAGCTTGCAATCCTTGGATTACAGGATTGTAGAGATCTTGCAATAATTTAATACAATTTTCTGCTTCGCCGCTTCGAGGAGCCAGTCCGCCTCTGATCTCAATTGCAGGGAAATTCGGACGATGTTTCATTTTTTTTTTTAAATATATAAAGATAATTAACGAAAATATCGAGTCGAAATTTTCTTTGATTTTTTTTTAAATTAATTGGGTGCCTTTGATTCTTTGCCTAGCTTTTACAATTGATTAAAGGGAAAATTTGTATCGTTATTGCACCGATTTAGAGACTTAAACTACGTAAAATTAATTTGGGTTTCATAAAAAGAAAAAGTGTAAGTGTTACAGTTTTTCTTGCAAAAACTGCATCATGATAAATAACCATCATGGTGGTAGTTTTGGTGATGTATTATTACTGTAAGGTGACTTAAGGAGAAATAAAGAAGGAAACATTTATAAGTTTTCAAAATATAGTTTATAACTTAATGAAGCCATTTTGGCTGCAAAAAACAAATTAATTTGGAATTTGTTCACATTTTTTTCTCACTTTTTAATATTTATGTAAAACATTTGATTCAAACATGGATAAAACTTCAAATAAACTGGCCAAACAAAAAGGCACAATATAAAATGAAACAAACAGGTATGCTTTAGTTTTTTGCCATTTCACAAGCTCTGACTTCTTTCTTTATTTTAATCAAAATAAACATTTTAAAAATACTATAATACACAGCAAGGCATCTACGTATTGGGATTAAACACGTAGATACCCACTTACATTAGTAATTAAATTTGATGTTGAAAAGTATACACAGGTAAGAATGAATTTGAAAAATTCAATCTAAACGTAGATATGTACAATTTTACACAATGGGAACACTCAAAGTAATTAATCATAGGCCAAAACTATCCTGCTGAGAAAAAACGCTGTATGAACATTCAAGAATTGCCAAATTTTCTTCAGTGAAAATGTTCATTTCAGTAGAGAAATATGAATAAATATTCATTGAAATTTTCAGATAATTTAAATTTGATTGCAATTAAAATTCTCTGGAATATTTTTTTGGAGAAAATTTGGCAACGTATGAAGGCTCATACAGCGTTCTCCGTTAGCAAAGCAGAAAACTATTTCTATGAAAGTAGATAAGAGACAAAAATTATGAAATTATATTTTGATGATTTTGAATGATCGAAATCTGCCTATTTTTGGTCTTTAGAATAAATTTCCTCTTGATTCAAAGCATAGAATACTGTTAATGAGTACAGCCTGTTAACTATTATTTTTTCCTGAAAATAACAAACATTTTTTTACAAAAAATCTGATGAATTTGCGAGGGGAAAAGGATGGGAAGAAGATGGAAAAAAAGGAGGTGTGTATTCTGGGATAAATCAATAGAGTTCTTAAACTGGAGTTAATATGCTCAAATACTAAAACATAAGGCACTGTGCGGATGATAAAAGAGGATCACAAGAAATCACTGGGCATCTATGATGAACATCAAAACATTGAAAAAAAAATAAGAAAATGCAAAAAAAAAGGATAATGATTTCCAGCAGAACTTGTATCATGCAATGTTGATCATTTATAAATTGTACAATTTGCATCAGACTCAATTCCTTTGCCTCTGTAAGTTCAAAATGATGCTTGCAATTTTATTTACTCAGCTGTACGTAATTCCCAGATTTCCACTTTTTCCTAGATTAAAGAGTCAAAATATTTAACCTTCTCTTTAAAAATGTTCAAACTTCTATTGTCACTGTTTATGAAATTCTTTCCCTATAAATTTTGATCATTGTTACAGAGATTTTCTTAGTGAGCATCATACATTGCAACCAACAAATAGAGCAAGAGGTACTCAAAATTGAGTAATCGTAACGATAAAAGAGACATACCTAATAAAATTTGAAAACGGAAAATAATCAGACTTGAAAAAATTGGAAAAGGCACTCAAACATTCAATTCAACTGATAACTCTACCTTGGCAATCATCTTTGCTGTAACACAAACAGTGATTTCAGCGACACTCAAAAATTCTCAAATAATTCCTTTACTTATTGGCTAAGAAGTTCTTTTGCGTGATTAAAAACTGGCCAAAATGTTGTAAAAATCTCAATTGATGAATACAATTTTTTCCACCTGACAATCAAACAGATAAAATGGATTTTTGAACCAGATCTGTGAGAACTACATAATAAAACAACATGTTTAAGCTCTTTCAGAGCTGGATTTAGGCGAAGGGCACCTAACAGGTTTTTAGCCATCTTAGAGCTTTTGCGGTAATTTGGTAAAATGACTCTTATCAAAGGGATCATCAACTTTTGACTTTCTCCCAAAAAATTTTGAAATTTTAACCCTTCTGAAATAAATTTGAAAACATGCTTTGAAACTTAGTGAGAGAAAAAGAGACCAAGATAACAGGAGATGTTTTTGTATGAAATTTTCATACAAAGAAATCACTTGCTCCTCTAAATTGATGAAAGTTGCTCACGCTCAGCCTCTTAGCAATGTCTGGACTTAGCCACATGGCTGAGAGAAATTGAGCAAAATACTCTATCCATGGTGTAGTATTGATTGAGGATTAATACATTAAAATTGAAAAAAAAGCCACTTTAGGTGCAGGCCATTGGACCTTTGCCTCATTATGTGACTCCCTAAATCCTGCCCTGAGCTTCCTAATTTTTTTCCAGTATGAATCATGAGATCTTCAATGAGGACAACGACAACATCTTTTTGCTGTTATTTCTCTCCTTTAGACTGCTACATTAATTATTTCAATACATAGAAATGAGGTGTGTCAAAAGTAACACATATATAAAAACATAAAAGTGATAGTCATGTAGGATAAAATGTTTAAAGATGGTTAAAAAAACTCAATAATAAATTTTCTAATAACTTTTCATCCTTGACTGTGCCATTCCTATCCAAAATTTTCCTGATTCGTGCATGTAATCGGTCGGAAAATTGCTTAACATATTTTAAAAATGCCCAACGGTTGCCTCATAAAATTATACTTTCGAATGAAAATGTGTGTCGAAAAACGTTACGAAACGAACCAGAACACAACACTTACAATTTCATAGAACAGACTCTTAAAACTTACAACTCAAGAACTTAAGCAGATATTAAGGGCCAAGGAAGATAATTTAGCCAAAACTGAGGCAGGTTAAATACCATTGATGCACTTCAAGCGTGAAGCTACAATTTTAAAAAGATTATATTCCTTAGATAAGAGCACCGGGGAAGATAATGAGTATTGTATAATACCTACTTTAGCGCTTTCTTTGCTGAGAATTTACTGTGCGTTACAGACAAACCCTAACTACCAAACCTAAGGTTCCTTTCGATGGCTATAGTGCGAAACCACCTATCTTCATTGCAATGTCTCAAAATCTCTCCTCCTATTTCACTTTTACGGAGGGAAACAAGTCGACTATATAGCCTGAAATTTATACAAAATAATCGGCCAATAGAGAAGAAAAATGAAGGCGGTTTTCAAGAAATTAAAGTGACTAATTTTCCAATGAAAAAATGAAGTCTGACAGAAAGTCTGCAACGCTGAAAACGGAGATACGTGGTTTCGCACTTTCGCCATCGATATGATATTTTTTAATTCCTTTTGGATTCATAAGTACAGCTTCTTATTGTTTAGAGGACAGAGTTTTTGAAAATTGATATGATTAAAATTTCAAAATGGATAAATGAAACGCAGTGCTTACATAACTACTTACATAAGAAAAAATCGCTGAGATATGTTTGAAAACAAGATTATAGAAAATTTGAGAAAAAGGTCAAGCAACATGCTGAGAAAGAAGAAATTCAAAATTACACATGAGTGACAAATCAAATTTGCTCAATTTAAATGAACTAACCTCTAAGGACTAGCAGTAAATCTTACTCAAGATTCATGACTTACATTTCAGAGAGCTGAGTTATTTACAGATATTTCCAACTTTTTAACAATAATTTATTAGAACTAGATTTATGTACTAGCTCCATAGGAAAGAATCAAAGAATCAACAGAGTAACAAACTGATAACAAACAAAAAAATTCAAGTGTTTTCTAGCCGATGTCATTCAGCAGCCTTGTTTGGCCGAACTCTTGGATAGAGCTGCAAAAGAGGACAGAAAAAGATACAAATTAGAGCGTGAAAATTATACAAAACGTAACTTTAAAAAGAAAAAACTGCAGTGTATCAATTTATCTGAAGGTTTCATAAAATGCCCAAATTCGAAGGATTATCACAGAATTTAGAAGATGAAATTCCTTGGTATTTCCCTGACACATTTTGGTAAAACTCCCTGACAATCAAGGAAGTGCCAGATGGTTGAAAAGACATAATTTGAGATGTTTTTCAGGCAAAATTTATTGTTCAAAACGTCAAATCCATTCTAAGGAGCAAATAAAGGTGACAAAATAATTTTTTCCAAACACTTATGTCATTTTTTTGACATTTCCTGATGCTCCCTGACTGTGGCAACCCTAAACCGTCCTTTCAAAATCCGAGCTTCTTCAGTGTATCAGGGCTTTTTTCGTCCAGAGGCCCGATTATTGAAACTGTGTTGGCCCGACGCAACGAGACATAGCCCAATCCCTGGTAGCAGACATTCCAATTTTGTTGAAATTTTGTTTAAATTATGTTTAGATGAAATTGAAATTTTTTAGATTTACCAAAAATTGGAGGAAAATTTCAATTTAATCGCGATTTTATTTCAATTTAAACTCAATTTTTATTTTTAGAAAAAATGCCCAAATTCGAAGAATTATCACAGAATTTAGAAGATGATATTCTTTGGTATTTCCCGGACACATTTTGGTAAAACTCCCTGACAATCAAGGATGTGCCAGATGGTTGAAAAGACATAATTTGAGATTGTTTTCAGGCAAAATTGATTGTTCAAAACGTCAAATCGGCTTCCTTTCAACTTTCAATAATCGGCCTGCAGGAGACACCCTGAGTTCTTTTGTCATCATAAACTAAAGAAAGATTACTTACCCCCAAAAGATTGCGTGGAATATATCCTTCTCTATCGTTGAGGCGAGACCACCACCACTCTTTCTCACATTCATCACCTTTCCTTAAGACTATGAGCCGGTCTCCTTCACGGAAACTTAGCTCATCTGCATTGTGGGCTTCATAATCAAAAACTGCGTAGACAGCTCCATTGTTTAGGATTCCCAACTTTTCTTGAACACCTAAAATTGGAAATCAACGACATGAGTCATTTAGTCCATTAAGGCTCATACAAAGAAAAAACAAAAAAGAAAAAACCCAACCTTTTTTAGAAGAAATGTAAAATTATTTTTGTTAGGTCGAGTTGATTGACACTTGTTTGATTTCAAAAATCAATGTATTCAATAAATCGAATAAAATGTTTCACATTTGAATGCGCTATACTGTATGTGGTTGAAAAATGCTTGAGGCACTTGGATTTCCTGATCAATGACCAACTTTCTTGATTTTTCTTTATAACATCATATATTCTAATGTTTTTCGGTGTTTATGGTTTTTAATAAAGACAGACATGATTAATAAAGTGTTAAGTTAGGCATGATAAACTGATAACTTGAGCATTTTTCAACTTTTAACTTGCAACAGGTATGAAATAGATTCTTTTAATGTGCCTACTATCAATGCCAGTTTTTGCTATTCAAGAAGAAAAAAAATTCTATATCCACTTGTCTATCCTTTTAAAATCGAGAGGTTATACTAGATAACTTGTAAATAAATTTAGGCACACATAATCTGATGAGGGAAAAAACAGACGATTGATGATGCTAATAAAAGCTCAAAAGAAAATGACTTACTGTAAAGAAATTCAGAGCACCCATCAAAACCTTCTTCATCCTCTTCACATTTTTCAGCAGCTGTTTCATGATCAGATAGAGTTTGGGCAAAGATACATGCTCCATGTTCGACTAAAAATCGAACCATGGCAACATTATTGCAACTGGCTGCACAGTGCAAAGGTGTCCTGAAGATAAAAAAGAAGCAAAATAATGTTTATTAATGAAAATAAATGGTGAATGTAGTTCAACTAAAGGTCTGATAAATATTGATAACTTCTCCTAGGTCGTTCATAAATGAAGCACTAGACAAGGTATGACTTCCCAAATAGCAGTGATCCTGATAAATAGCGATTTTATCGGTGGCAATTAATCGCAATATTATCGAATAAAAAATTGCGATTTATGGCGATTAAATCGCCATATATCGCGATTTTTGTTGCAAAAATATCGCGATAAATTTCCGGGCGATAAAATCGCAATTTTATTGCTACAAGATCGAGGATAATTGCTCAGATGTTGATGATCTTAGCAATTTTATCGCCGACAAAATTGCTCAGATGTTGATGATCTTGGCAATTTTATCGCCGACAAAATCGCAACAAATCACAATTTTTCCGTTGAAAAATGCTACTTGGGTTTAAGCATTTTGATACATGTTTTCTCTAAAAACTTTAACGTACAACCCGATTCTCGCAAGAAATGACAAGCATCGTTGGGTCATTTCTCAATATAGATTAATCTCTTGGTAAATGCAATTTTTAGATTTTTTGACAGTTTTTCAATTTTTTGGGTTTTTCTGTATTCTAATTTTAATTAAAGTTTAAAATTTGCTGGCGAGTAAGGGTGCACTGCTGACTTTGGCCAGTGCCCGGTAAGTATTATTTACCAGTACCAGTTTAGTCAGTAAGTATTTATACTGGATGTGATCCCTCTTTTGAGATAAAAAGAAATGTAATGGACAAATAGAAAAGCAGAGAACAGAAATTACATACCATCCATCAGAATCTTGTGCATTGACATCACAGCCGAATTGGACAAGGAACCTGACTATATCAATGTGACCAGCGCAGATTGCATTGTGCAAAGCTGTAATTCCTTCATCGTTCGCAGCGGAGGGATCCTTCACTTGTGTCGCGGTTTTCATCACGAGTTCAAGCTCTCCTTCAAGGGATGCATCGAGGAGGAGAGCCAATGGATCAAACGAGACTCTTCTTTTTAGTCCATTAGTTGTGCCGTTTCCTTTCAAGTTTCCTTTCTTTATCCGGGATATGACTTTTGATTCTTCTGAAAAAATATGTTTCTCCGTTAACATTTTAAGTAACAGCCTACTTCTTGGTTGATATTAGAATTTGCACGATCAAGAACTGAAACTCAGATTGCGATGAATTGCAATTACATTGTAAAATTATCGTATTGTATCTGAGTGTTGTGTTTGTTGTCTATTCACTAATTGAGGGGGCACCTCATATAAAAATTGATTGCAATAAAATTGAAATGAGATGTAAGTACTTTTTGTTTCATAGCAAATTGCCGACCTTTCCCACACACAGTTTTTTTATTTGACAATTTTTCAAATGGAATGGAAATTTAATTAAATGGAAATTTATTGACAAAATTACATAAAAATATTGCAATTCCATGGAGAAAATTGCACTTAAATTTATTGCATTAAATTACAAAATATTTCAATATTTTCATTGCAATGAATTACTCGGGAATCAAATGGTTGATAATAATTTTAATAAACCTCATAAGTCCCACTAAAAATCCTAGAGATCAGTAGATTCTACTTGCTCCCCCCTCCATTCCAAGTGCTCATTTCGGCACTCTATTTTAAAAATCTCCCTGAGTAACACTTTACAAAATTAAGTAAAATCAATTCAGAATATATGAACTTTCTTTATTTGATCGGTCTTGCTTATCTTTATTAAAATTGAATCTACAAAGAAATTGCAGGCAAGCAGCAGGGCCTGTCGCAAAGAGTGCAGTATCCGCCAATGCGTTGTGGAAAACTAATTTCAGGAAAATTATCTGCATCAGAGAATTTTGCCTCCCCAATTTTTCTTGAATCAATATAACTTTTATCATACTTAGGTAAAAAACAGCTTGTTTCTTATGAAATGTGAAGTTTCCATTCTTTTCTTATTATTAAATTCTTCAAAGAGATAAACAATTTTGTTAAAAATACATGTTTGTGATAAAACTGCAGAAAAGTGCACCTTAGTTTGCAGCGTTGCCTTCTTCCTTCCCTAATTTATTTTGCAACTGAGAAAATATGTAAAATAATTTCTTGAAAGCTTCTCTGTTTTTTTTTCTCTATGTGAAAATATTCTGTGAAAATTTCAAGCAATATAGTTGGCTTGTTCTACTCTAGTATAGTAAAATTAGAGCAGAGATGTTGAAACACTGGATACGAGTTTTTGTAGTTTCACCGTTGACATGCTTCAGAAGATGTGGTATGAAATTGTTTATTTATTTTTTGTTTTATATTACCTTGAGATTCATTACTAGTTTCACTGGAAAATGCATTCTCTTGAGAAGTGTCGCTTCCAGCAGAACCATTCTCTTTTATCTCACTACGTAATTTGTTGCTTAAAATGTCATCACAGTTATGTTTCGGAATACTATGATCAACCTTATCATAGGATTCTTGATTAACTGATGCTACCAGATCTGCAGGGGGAGTAGCATTCTCTGGGAAGAAGAATGCTGGCGGCATCTCTATTCGCCTGAAAAGCCAAAAATAAATTTTCATTAGAAAAAACAGATAAGGCAATAAATAACCGACTGACAGGTGATACAATTTTACAATATCACAGAGTAAATTCCTAATCCTAGCTCATACTTTCAGATTATTTTAAATTTCAAAAACGCAAGAATTTTATTTTAAGATTATCTTTTAATCTGAGTGTCTTATGCGCTAAAATTTTTGTAACTCACTGTTCCGAGAAATGGTGTAGATACACAACTTCAATGGGTAAGAAGGACACATTTTTTTCTCAAAAATTGATTTTCTAAAAATACGGCGGGAAACAAGCTTCTAGAAATTCCTCCAGATTTATTTACACCTTAAATGGCAAAGTAAACCTATTTTGAAAATGCAGAAAAAGGGCCTTGTTTCCCTGTTTAAAACAATATTTTTGCCCAGTTCTGATGACGAAGCCAGGCAGGGAAATGATGTTCGCTGATTGAAAGAATTCAGCTTCAGGCTTTACTGTGTAACATCACCTCAATTGTTGGATTTTAATTAGCTTTCCTCCCCTTGGAAATGCTTTTTTGAACTTTTAAACGAGCTCACTGATTTTTCCACAAAATTTTACATCAGATTAATGATGTTACAACTCTGCAAAAATTCCTGGCTTCTACCCCATTCATGGGCTTCCACCACTAAAATCCCTTTCCTTAAGAATAGTCAAAATTGGAGATGATCCTAGATTGAAAAGATAGTTTGTTGATGTGTTTCTCAGTTATATTTTTGTAGATTTAAACCATTAGCAATTAAGAAGCTAGGCGAAAACGTAACGGTAAGAAAAGAAATAATGGGAAAATAGAGAAAATTTGTACCTGTTCAGTGACACATGAACATTCATGACTTCACTATTGGTGGAGTCGGGAGAGCAGTCAGCGCTGTTTTCATTTTTGTTGTGGTTCTGTTCTGATGACTGCTTTTTACCGATTGAGGGCCATGGTTTTATTAGTTGCTTATCCATCCGTCGATCCTCTGTTGACTGATCGGCAGGAGGCGGAGGTGGTAAAGGCAAATTTGATTCTGACTGAGACTCGGACTTGTTCTTTGCATTGTTTTGATCTGTGACACTGCTACCCCTAAAATAGTAGAATTGAAGAAAAAATTAGTCCTATGCCTGCACCAAATTAATAAACTTCAGTGAATGATTGGTTGGTTGGTTCATACATCTACATACAGGTGCCTTGGCAATACATAGTCATTAACACCTTCAAAAAAAGAGATTAATATAAATGTGTAAAAAATAATAAAAAACTAAAAAAAAGGATAGAATGAATTGTTTAAAAAAGGGAGGGATTCGAAGAAAAAAAGTATGGTATTGAGATCAGAAAGAGGAGGGAAAATTTTGGATCTCAATTGTTGATAGGAAGAAAAGGATATAAAATATGACAGACTGAGAGGAGGACATGATAAGAGAGGTATCTATGTTGAAGAGGAGACTTTTTAGTTAAGTACCTATTGGCGGGAGAAGGAAGTGTGCCCAATGCATAAAATTCTTAAAGGTAGGTATGACGATGAAAGGTGGCTTAAGAACACACAAATGAGTCAATTTTGATTAAAGTCTATGACACGAAATGATGTTATTGGAGTCAGTCGATCAGTTATCACTGAAGAGAGAGTGGCCCAAAACCGGTCTGTAGAAGTTATTTATGCAAGGGAAAGTTATGAGTTCAAATGGAATTTTTTTCTTTATAGAGAAAATAGAAAAGGAACAATTAAGTGTTCTTTAAAAAGTGCAAGATTTAAAGTTTGTAAGGGTGGAATTTTCCTAGGAAGGTCCTCAAAAATGTAGGTATTTAAAACACCAAAGGGCCATACAAATATTCCGTACTCCTTACCTAGATGAAAAGTTGACTGAGCCTCTTAGGACGTTTAATGCTGTGTCTACTGCCTCCGAAGATGTATCTACCACAGGTTTAGGTCGTTTCTCCGTTAACCTATTGTTGATGTCTAGAAATTCTAATTGCGTAAGCCTACAGGATTCGTTCATTTGTTCCGAAAATAGCCTTTGGTTTTCTGCATTCTCTTGATATGTCGTCCACAAGGCACTCTGTCGAGGAGGAGGAGGTGGCGTTGGTTTCCCGGGTAGAGCTGGTTTCGGAGGTAAGGCAGGTTTATTATGCACAGAGTCAGGTGTGCTATTTGGTGTTGATGAATTCTGCGGTGATCCTAGCTTCAGGTCCCTTAGAATTCCCTGTAAAAACGATAAATATGACATAAAATCTTGTAAGAAGACTTTTATTACAAAAAAAGTAAAAAAAAAATAAAATAAATAAATAAATAAAAATATTGAGAAAAATAACAGAGTTTAGTGAAAAGTAAAATATATTGTCTGATCCAATCAAGAGCAATTATTCATTATTGCTCATTCAATTATTGTTTATATTTCGGCCTGGCGGTTGCGACCTGGGACACCTGGAGCAATTAATTTAAAATTTGAATCCTGTCCCAGGATTCAAATCCTCTATAGGGTCTAACCCACAACTTAATTTAAATTAATCTTAGAATAAATTAACCTGTATATTTCTTAATGCTTGTATGGTAGGCGAAATTTGAATAGGTAAATTCAAAAAAAAAAAAAAAATTATTCAACTTGAGGGCACCAGGCAGCTCAAATGAAAAATGCATTTTGATAGAAATTATAATTTATCGAACTTTGGTCTTAATCTTTGGGCAAGTACATATAACTAACCAGTATGATCAGCTTCTGAGTACAGGTAAGCACCTGTAACTAGTATGATTAGTTTCCAAGTACAGGTGAGTCATAGACATTTCTTTTTCTTACTTTTAGGACTTAAAGAGGTAGATATTAAGAGTAAGAAAAAAAAGAAGCAGAAATATAGAGAGTATATATATATTAGAGATATATATATTAGAGATAGAGATTAGAGATATTAGAGATATATATATTAGAGTTGAGAGATATTAACATTAAATTTTTACCTGAGGGGTTGAACTAAGCGTTTGGGGTTGAACAGGATGAACTTTGGTAGAGGACGTTTGGTAAATTGGAGACGTCATCTGTTGAATTGATGTCGGAATCACTGTGCTCACCGGTTTCTGTAAAATTTAAGTAACATAATGATTAATTAGGTATTCATAGATATGTTTATTTTTTAAAAGACACTTCTTGCACACCAATTTTAATGCGATCAAAACAAGAACTTGAATGCTTCCAGGAGTGAAAACTGAATGAAATGGAATATTTCAAGCAATATCCGCTAAATAAACTGATGAAGGGATAAAAGAACACATTTGTTTCTAGTCAATAAATATTAAAATGGCAAATGGGTCCTGAGTAAGTGAGCTTTCTCAGCAAAATAAAGGGAATCAAATGTTTTCTCAGAAGAACATCTTGATAAGTGATAACTGAAAATAGAGGCAAGTAAGTAATACCTATTTAACATGGAGTAAATGATCATATGCCTTCCAAAATTTTTGAAACAAAAAAATGAAATAAAGAATTTGTTTGAAAAATCCAGCAGTTGAACATATTTACATCAACAAGGTATCCTAGAAATTGGGTGGAGGGGGTGGCGGAGGAGTTGAACTACTCGTTTTGAATAATGGTGATACAAGTTATAAGCACAAAAGTACAAAAACTAGAAAGCAAAGGAAGTCAAAATTGTACTTTTTGATACATTTAAAGCAGCTAAAACTAACACGGAAGCAGAAGACAAATCTGAGATGTTGAGGAAAAACAAATTAGAAATGATGCGATAAAGATTGAAGACGTTTAGCAAAATAGAATTAAGAGACAACTTTTTAACAAACTTTACAGGAAAATTTTCTCCGAGAAAAAATTTTAAGTCTCGAAAAAATATTCAATATACCTACAAAAATTTGATTTGAGGTTCATTGTCCATACAATTATACTGAGCTCATAGATGAGCGAAACTTTGAATTTTGAATCATTTTTCCCTCTTCCAAGTTCTTTTCACTTATTTCCTTTTTGCTAAACGCTACTCAAACACTCAAGTGATTTTCCTCACCTTTGGATACCCTGAGCCTGAGCAGAGAGGCGTAGAAGGCAAAGAAAAAATAGAACCAGCGTAAACTGACATCGAAGGTGATGACAAATGAAAAGAAGGAAGAGATGAGAATGAGTAAGCAGATGGAAAAGAGGCCGAATGCTGATTATTTGAGGCCGAAGTAGCTGAGCTTAAGCTCACTGATTGAAAGCTAGAAGGAGACTTTTCATCTGGCTGCGATAGAAAAAGAATAACCATGAGAAATTAGGAAACAGTAAATCTTAATCTACTACATTACATTGTACAGGAATACACCGAACGAAACATTTCTAGATGTAGTTTGAATAAAAAAATACTGTCCATTTCTTTGACGCTTTTTTCTTTGATGGATCAAGACTCCTCAAAAATTAATAGAAAATTTTAGAATAAAAAAAAATTAGAAAAGTTAATATTTGCTGAGAATTGGTGCACTTTTGTTAAAATCTACCTATGTAAGTAAAGGTAAGGATATTATATCACTTAAATTTCACATTGATGCCAATTTTTGAGGTTTACTTTAAAATTTTGTGTAATGTAATTTGATACAAATTTTATGCTTCTTACTATTTTAATAATGAACACCTGAAACACTTATTTTTGGATTTTTGATTTTTGGGAAAAAAAGAGAAAATGAGAGATAAATAAACAGAGAGAAAAAGCATGAAAACACTAGCCTGAGCAGAATTTCCCTTCTTTCGAAATATACAACTATATTCAAACACTATCAACTATATTCCATGCCATGAAAAGTAGCTGATGAAAGATGGACTCAGTGATGGGCTTGCAATAAGTATTGTTTGATAGTTGAAACGCTGTTACATTGCCTCATTTAAATGGCCCGAGCTCACCGTAGCCTATCAACCCAAGGACAGAAGACTGAACTGCTCACTTGAATTCGATTTTCATCCCCCACTTTTCAAGCCATGGATTATGGTACTCCTTTTTTCACTAACACACAAAAGCATCAAGTACTTACATTTATTGAATGCAAGATGCACTTGAATTAAAATGCATTTTTGATTAATACAAAAATACCCAACAAGGCAATGAACTTTAACAGCATGTATGAAATAAAGAGAGACGAAAAAGCACAAGGCACGAACAGTGAATCAAGGCAAAAAATTAATTACAAACTGATACGTACCTGTTGGTTATTATTTGTGGAAGATCCAGCGCTGCTGCTAGTTGTTGCGAGGGATGTGGTGGAAGAGGTTGTAGATGAGGCGCCACCTACAGGTTGACCACGAGTTAGCAGAGAGCTTGCCATTGGTCCAGATAGACTGTACACCCTAAGAATTGGTAAAAGAAAATATTAATGTTAACATCATGATAAAATTATGAGATTAGGAGATTTATGAGAGGATTTTGCTGTCACATTCTAAAAATTGAATTCTAAGTTTGTTATAGAAATAAAAATATGAAAAAATGTTGACTTCCTTGCACAGCTGCCTCTGTATCCATGGCTAAATTAAAGAAATGCGTTCCTTAGATTGTAAGTCTCTGCTCATGTTTTATTTTTTTAAAGGATAACCAACCAATAGTTCCTGTTGAAATCTTCTGTTAATTTTCTTCACCTGATCTATAAAAATCATGTAAAATGGCAAGGAGGCATTTTTATTGGTTTTTCCTGAATTAAAAAAAAAAAAAATAATCGGAAATTTTTAAACATTGCAATTGAGAGGCACATTTTTTGTATTTAGCAATTGATATGCTGAGTAGTTTTATCAACCTCCAAAATTTTTTAAAATTTTCCCTCTTTTGGAAATTTTTTTTTTTTTTTTTTTTTTTTTTTTATTGTTTGAACTTTTACTTAAATGGATTACTTATTTGGCTAACATTTCTACATTCTTGCTCTCTGTTCAAAAATAAAGATCAATTTAAATTTTATGAATTGCTAAATCTTCAATAGTCAAGCTGCCTCTATGTGCTTAATAACTTTCCCAATCTGCGAAAAGTCTCAAATTTTCCCTAAAAATTAAAGTAGTACTTTTTCTATCAAGTAGGAAAAATACTCACCTTGGGGCAAGATTGACAGATGAGGAGGAGGAGGATGAAGATGCAGGGGACGCAGATGACGGTGGTGGCAGAGGCGGTGGAGGGATTTTTGACTGATTTTGGTTCAGCACTGCCGAAGATTGCGCCTTATTGGAACTAGTATGCACTGAGTGTATGTTCTGACCTTGGTTTTTCTCCATATTTTCAGTCATTACACTTTCATTTCCCTCACCTGGCTTTCGAACTGAAGAGGAGAACTTCTGGGTCGACGAATTGTAATCTAGAGTAAACTTTGTATTGTACGGTAAAGTCTGATACTTAGGATCTGATTTACTGACGCTGAACTCTGAAAGCCTATCATTTGAGTTCGGAGACAATTTGGGCTCTACATTTGTCAACCCTGTACGGTTTATTAGATTGTTATTAGCTATGTGATCATTTATTGGGCACTTATTTTGATTACTATTGACATTATAATTACTTATGAGTTTTGTACTGGTTATCTCGCTTAATGCGCTCTTACTATGACTATTGTTTGTTTGAAAATCGTCGTGCGATAGTTTTCTTTGGTTCACTGAATTAGAGAGCTGGTAAATATTATTATTGTTAATAATGTTGTTATTGCTGCTGTTATTGTTGTTATTATTGTTGACCTTTTTAAGGAAATCACTGTCTTTGTCGGAGGATTTATTTGATGGCACTTGATTCATAGGTTCTCCTAATCGATCACTAGAACTCTGCTTTTGCAGAAGAGTTGATCTATACAAAGGAACGGACGGACATGAACTCATTTGATCTTGATATTTCAGCTGGTGGTGCTGTAAGGCTGACGAAGAAAGAGTATTCCTGAAACAAAGAGAGGATAGAATGAATACTCAGGTAGAATAAGGAATGGGTGGCATTGAATGATATACAAAGAAAAAATCTTGAGGAATTTATTGAACAATAACTGAACACTAGAGTTGATTTAAAAGTTGTCGAAACTCTAAGCAGGTAGATTTTCTAGGAAGGTACAAATTTTCAAAGCAATTTACCCAAAAAAAGTGATTACAAATCGTACTTCCTCACAATGTTGTTGGGTAAAAAGTGATTTAAAAAATCGAATTGGCTCATGAGCTGTTACAGCTATTAAAAGTTTAAACATTTTTATTAAGAAGATTGGGTCCTGAAAATTTTGGAGAAAACATAAGAGTTTTCATTTTTCTTCTCCTTTTATTCTAGTCCTTTTTTAAATGAAATAATATAAAAATAAAAATGTGTGCCTGGAAATTTCAAATAAATTTCAGTTTTAAAATCTGGGTTGAACAGACGCTAGGTAGATAAAGATCAGACACTTCATAACGATAATTACAAATATTACAAAAAAGTTAATGTCAGAACAGATGGAATTTATGAGTACTCAATGAAAATTTCAAATCAAACTCCAAAAAAAAAACATTCTTCACACACTGTTGTTTTTCAATTTTCAGAAAATACGAACAATTGTTCCTCATCGAATACCGTTTAAATTCACAACAACATTAAATGGCAGTATGATTAGCAAACATGACGAGGATCTACTGTGGCTTAAATATCTGTGCCGGTTATGTTGCATAACACCAGTTTTGAAGGGGTTTCTAGGGTAGCAAGGATAGCCGAAACTAACCTCTGCGATTTGGCTCAAATATCCGTGCCGGTTATGTTGCATAACCCCAGTTTTGAAGGAGTTTTATAGGGTAACAAAGATAGCTGAAACTGTTCACTACGATTTGCTCACCTAACTTGGTCGTTGGGTTTAGTTCCTGCATTCTGCAGTTGTTCCGCTAATTGTTGGTTCGACAGCCGCTTACGTTGCAGTCTGTCCTGAAGTTCTGATATCCTCCTATCTACAGCCGAAACCTCTTCTTGTCTTAGGGCTAGCGCTTCTCTCTGCTGCGTCAGTCGCACCGACTGCTGCTCATTCAGTTTGTTTCGATACTGAAGAAAATAAAACAACAATAAAACGTGTTAATAGAGAAATGAAAAAATAGATGAGATTATGAAAAAGTACGAGGAAACATTACATAAAATAGTTTTGAGCAGTGATATGCAGATCAAAACTTATGGTTATAAATACCCGCAGCCGCAAACAACTATTAACAGAAACATTCAACATCGTCAAATTATGGATGACCGATCCATCTTTGCTGGACCTGAAAGGTTTTTCCAAAGTATGAACTTGGGTTTTATCATTAAAAAAAATCGTTTTTTTTTTCGTTGGTTTGTCCTTACTTTTTTCTTGCGTCACCAACATTTCCTCTCTTTGATGTTTCGTAAAATCCTAATAAATTCCTAACATCCTTCTTCATTGCCTCTTACGAGCATTTTCTTTACGTTACACGCACTTTAAATCCAGAGAGGATTAGCACTTGTTTTTTCAGGCACACAAATAACTGCTTTGTTCAACAGCCAACGTGATAATTTAGAAATTCGGATTCGGGACATGAATTGCAGGCATGTTGGAAAATGATCCGCAACACTCTGACAATGAGTCGAAATGCCATTTTGCTGGCATATGGTAACATTACTTTGTGCTGAAATAGATAATCCATTGGGCTATTTTTCTAGTTCACCCCGAAAACCATAGACCGGAACCTATTTTTCATCGGCTTTGAACTTTTCCATAACAGAGAATACCCTGTTCTTCTTCGTTTTTCGTACGAGGCCCGTGGGCTGATATGGATATTGATAGCCAAAGCGATAGGCAAAGAAGACATAGGGAACATGAAGCGATCCTATTGGTTGGAACGGGTGGTTCTTAAAGACTAAGGGGAAAATGATGGACTAGCTACAGGGTCTCTCCACCCTTTGTCCATTGCGACCACCCGCTTCCACCAATAGGATCGCTTTATTTTCAGTTTGTCTTTCTTGTCTATCACTTTTTCTACACCCAAAAAACAAGTATGGGAAGAGCGACTTGCCGGCCGAGTTATGGATCATGGAGCCATAAAATACAGTTCGTGGAGCCATGCTTATAGGTTCACGACCAATAAAGTATGGCTCAGAAAGCCATACTGTAGATGGTAAGTCACTTTGGTTAGAAATTATGGATCTCCGAGCCATTTTCTACGGATCTCAGAGTCATACCTTTTTTTGAGTGTACTTTCAATAATCAACCCGCACTGGCAGCCTGCATGGAATTTTAGTTTAAATAAGAACGTCAAAAGAAATGGGAGAATTAAAATTAGCTTCATAGTTGGACGTATTTCTGCCAAGCGGAACTACGTGCATTATGACGTGAGCCCTGTTCTGCATATATTCTTATGGGTCTCAGGGCACATAGTTCCGTTTGGCAGAAAAACGTCCAGTTGCCGTACGGTTGAAGAATCAAACGATGAAAAGAGGGCATTACCATAAGCTCTCTTCTAAGTTTATCTAGTTCGATGGCGGCCGCAGAAGGAGGCGAAGGGATCGTCCCTCGTCCTTTCTTCAAATCCTCCAGCTGAAGGGTGAGTTCTTCCACCTTGGCCACCGCCATCGATAGCTCCTTCTCCTTCTCATTGAACAGCGCTCGTATCGACTTCAGATCGGACGCTGAAACAAAACAAAATGCCCAAAAATTAAAGATATTTGAGGATGTCAATACTTATAAAAAAACAGAAGAAAATCAGAGTGCCAGCAATTTTTTGGTATGCAACACGGACGCCCCGAAAGCACGAATAGTTACATCCAGACCTAGCCGTTGAAAAAGATGTAATGTTATTCCTCCTGTGATAACAAAGTGTGTCGCTCATTTATTTGTTTATTTCATTCGTTACAAATCATTCATTTTGATCTTATAACTACACAGCTGACCACCATAAGCCGAAAACTTGTGTGGTAGAGGGCTGCCTGAAAATCTTACTCTATGATATAAAATCATAAGAGTATCGCGTAACGCTTGAAGCACGAAGCTCATCGGTAGATTAAACCCCGAAGCGGTCAGGTACAATCGAGGTATACGGACCGAGTAGAAAAGATAAAACTATGAATTAAAACAAACAAAAGAACCGGTGGCTTATTTTTCTTTGTTTACATACTTTTGGATAAGTTCAAACTACGTAAAATCGCGACTACAGAAGTTCCCGCATTAAATTCACAATATGCTAGGTATACATGAGAAGCGATAATTAGTAGCAATTTTTCCATCAAGAGTTGATGTTAAGAAGGCTTACCCAAGGAAGAAGGTAGGTAAAGATTCCTCTTAGTTTAAAGGCAGGTGAGAAAATGTCATCAAAAAGTAGTGGAGACATATTTTATTTATATACGTAGTGATAAAATAGAAAACATATGCAAATTACACATAACACACAGGCACTCCGATAAAACATTGAGGCAGAAGAAAATAAGGCGTCTGTGATTCCCAGACTACAAGATCTGAAGAAGACTAGAGAGAAGTGAAACGATAAACATAACCTTGGAAACCATTTTAATCTGATACTTAAAATGCATTTGAAAATTAGGATTATTTGGATCGTGTTCGGCACAAAAGAACTAAGCCACATCAGCTATTGCCTAATTTAACTGAGCAATTTGATATTTTACAAGAGAACATTTGTGCGGATTTTTTTGATAATTTTAACAAAGTTGCTTCGTTCACTGAAAAAAATATGCCGGTAGATTTTACCATCTCTGACACAGTGATACGAATATGGTAATAAACACCAGACTCTATGGTGGCATTTACCATACTATGGTAAGAATCACCAGAGTTCTGGCGAATACTACTATAATTCTGGTTATTTCCACTAAATAGTATCACTGTGTAAAAAATCAAGTAGACTCATATTAAATGTTACCATACTTTTTTTTCAGTGTTGTATGCAGAAAATTCACTGAAATTGCAAGAAAATCCGCACAACCGTTCTAAAGGAAACAAGCAGGAAGCTCCAACGCATTGGCGTCGGAGAGCGGCTCTGGGGGCAGTAGTTGTAGTCAAGAATGAGGGCCTAGACACATTTTGTCATTGATGTACAATCCGACAACTGTCGATTCATGTTTTGTAACTTAGCAGATTTACGTAGCCGGTGTATAAATGTGTATTGGGCTTTGATATGGCGCATACATGGCATTATCACTTGTTGTATACTTTTAATTTTGAAAGCTCTTTGGAGGTCCGCTTCCTAAAAAATCTCTGGTTGATAAGTCGTTTAGCGAGGCTGCAAAAAATTTGCATTTTTATATCTGAAAGTGTAGGTATTGGTTTTTTGTATAATTGTTTTTTTGGATTGCTGGAAAAGTAACGCATACTTCTATAATTTAGGACTGAGTCAGGGAAATATAAGGTTCGTTAAATAGTAAATATTCCTAGTACCGTGTGACACTATAGTTAACGAAAAGTTTTTGCAACTTGTCAAAGAGGTTGTTGAATGATCTTCGAATAACTTTTGATGAGCTAGAGGTAATGGTTCTATCTGCAGCTCGTGGACTTCTGTACGATATTGTCCAGAATCATCTAAATTTTCAAAAAGTGTCCGCTTGTTCGATACCCAATTTGCTCATTCATGCATACAAGGAGAAGCGCATGAAAGCTTTAGCAGACATTTTGGAGATGAATCAAGAATTAGATGAAGAATTTATGACTTAAATCACGGCACCTTAATCACGGGATGACCTTAATTACGGCAACTATTTATTGTCCATGAGATGCAGATGGTTCCATTTCCCTAGCTCATCAAAAGGAATTCGAAGATCAATTTCATCAGCCACCCGTACGAACCACGTTTCTAGTGACCCGTACTTGCTTCGCACGTATGAAACATACAATCAGAGAAAACAGAATTCATCTTACAATAATCAATAATCAGTAGGACATGAATCGTTGCGATGTATAATACGACATTATAATGCGGCATTACTATTGTAATTCATTTTAATGTTTAGGGGCATTATAAATCATTATTGCCACGTCGGAATGAAATGTTGTAGACTGAATTGAAAAGCATGTTGGCAAAATTTATTATAAAAATAGTATAACATGTAGGTACATAACATAAAGGTAATACAAATTAAATGATTAGAGCGTGTATATTTCATTACATTATAGGTATATTACAATTATTTTTCTCATTGTTGGAAATTTTGATAGTTTGAATTTTGATAGTTGATAGTTGATAGTTTGAGAGTTGAAAATTTGGTTATTTTATTTAGTTAAGGTGATTCGATAGACGCCATATTTTGTGTCAGAATGGCATGCGACTTTTCCATCAATTGGTTCCATTTTTTCATTTACTCATCATTTTTCTCCAATTTTAAGTTTCGCAATTCTGTTTTCACGAGACTAAAGCACTCACTTATCAATTTGTATATTTATATTGAGTTAAGGGTAGAGACGTATTCCTCACCGGAATTGAGGAATGGAGGTGTTACAGTATGTCCGGCATTAGGTTCCATTTCGACATCAGCGACGATCAACGCTGCGATACTGGAAGCCAGTCTTCCGATATTAAATCCCTAGCGGGGAAGAAAAAAAATGCCTAGATTTCGCTAAAAATCCCTAAATCCCCAGATTTGCTCAAATATACTTAAAAAATCCCTAGATTTTGCAAAAAGCGCCATTTTTTTATGAAGAATCATGATGTCATTCGATGTAGCGATTTGCAATATTTAAATCTGATTGGCTCGTTTGAATTTTGGCGCTCTCTGAAAGCAGTGCTAATCCAGACCAATAAAATGAAAGAATATTAGTTGATTTCTTATTATTAACAGGTTGAATGCAGTTGAATGTCAAGTACATCGAAGGACACAATCGTTTTAATTTCCGGCTTATTTGCGGGGAAAATAGTGTTGCCAAAAAGGCCTACAAAATATAGATGAAAAAATGTTTTCGATTGTCGAAGCTAGAATTGAGGTTAAAAAGTTGATTTTTGGTAACTTTACCTCATCAAAAAAAAATCCCTAGATTTCCTGAAAAATCCCTAAATCCCTGGAAATTCCGGAAAATCCCTAAATCTAGGAATAAACCCTTAGACATCGGATGGCTGTTGGAAGCATTAGAGTCAACATTTGAAACGCTGCTGCAGAATTTGCCGGGAGTATAATCGAGTGTTGAAAGTCAGTAGAATTGAACAATGTAATAATTGCTTTCCGAAATAAGCGTTATAATAAAAAAACAACGAATCTGAACTGTTAATACTGGAACACACCTTCTGTAAATGTACCTTGCGAGAGATAAGTAAAAAAATAGATGTACTGGAGGAGAAGTGCTTCTCCACAGAGTTTGAAGAAGGAAAAAAAATGCCCAAATTTACTTACTTCAGCATTTTCGGCAAAATCACTGCAATTTCCGAACCTTTTTCTGGCCAGGGGCCAAAATTAAATGATTATGAAGGGCCACTTAGATGTTGTAGATAAAAATAGGACTGTTGAAAAAGTCGCCGTTTTCAATAAATATGTTCCCGGAATGGAAGAGTTAGGTTAAAAAATTTAGAGTTAAAAAATTCCCATGAGCCGAGTGCCGTAGGTTAAGCCAAAACTAATCGGAACTGTATGAATGAATTGCTCCTTTTAAAAATCAAAACAATATCGAATTGCGATATATTACACAGTTAAGATAGGGCTATGTCCTGTCGTAAGCGGCGACATACAGTCGATATCATTTCAATAATCGCCCCAATGGCCACGATAGTTGTTAGACGTTTACGGTTTCCCTGGTAACCTTTGTTTGCTATCAGCTGATATCGAGTAAATGACTAGGAAGCTCCAACCCAGTAGTTAAAGCTTCCTTAACCGCGAAAACTTTAAAATTCAAATTTTCAAATTTTGAACGTAAAGTACATTTTTTCCATCACGAGATAAAAGCACAAACAAGTTTTGAATTGTTGACTGTATCACCATGATTCCAAAAATACAATACACAACATAGCATTGACTAACAATAAAACAGTATGCAATAAAATAAAGTCATGACAAGGAACATAGCCGAAAATGGCGCCGATTCCCATCAACCAACGCGCGGTCTCTACAATGTAACATGCTGCATTGATACTCCCCAGCTGGGACCGTCCGGAATAGCAGCTCTAGTGCAAGCACCAGAGCCGCTAAAAATTAAATTCTGCAATTAAATCTGGCAATAGCTGATGTGGCTTAGTTCCTTGCTACTTAACGCAGTCCATTTAAAGTAAAAATGATTCGTAGTTAGTTAGTTATTATTGTTCATACGCATTTAGTTTCTGAGGCTATAAATGTATTTACAAAACTTCTAAAAGTGTAAATGTAAAATTATGAAAATTTTATATTTTTCACCTTATAGGATGTGAAAAATGTCAATGATAAAAAAATCTGATACAATCCTACATCTATAAGAATTATGGAAAAATAAGCAGAAGAAAAGAGGAAGAGGGAGGGGAAGAAGAGGAACGAGACAATTGACGTCAAAACATCGATTCGTCACTGCAAAGTGACCGAAAACGCGCCTTCACTCAGTAAGATAGGCAAAAGATCATTGCTCAGCAAAACAGTTCGTATCCTCAGCGCGAAGCTCCATTATTTTATCCCTTTAATCCTCTCGACTTTCGCGGGCGAAATAAATTGCGAGGTACAAGTCACACGAACGC